TATCTTTTCTTATAACGAAATGTAATAAAATCGTAAATTTTGTTGTGTTCGCATTGTGGTTTGAGGAAACATTTTCGATATTGGCCTTTAGAGCAAATTCAAGACTGTCTGAAGTTGGAAAGTTAGCTAATTACGGTGTACATACTGAACGGTTGTCACGTAATGCAGATCAATCTTGAAGAAGTTCTTATCGTTCTTTTACTCATTTCTGTTTGATTTAATCTCTCCATAGGTTAATATAGAGAATTACAAAACAAATGTCCGATCTCTTAGTGAGAAATATCGTTATTTTTGAAAGCCTACTTTACACCTTTTGGTCGCACTCTAAACAACGAGATGAGCCGCCTATGTTGCCTCAGATCAATAAACCAGAAAGTCTTGTTTTCCGCCTTTAATATACTTTCCATTAATAAACAATCTAAGAGCTCTCATATAAATTGAGAAATTATTGGAAAGAACTAACAACAGCTGTTTTCGATCGGACTTGGGAGTCAACAGATGGAAAACGTCAACAGATCGCGAATCGACGCTGTGAGACATATTATTTATTCTATTTCTAACGTTAGAACTCTTGCTACATCAGAGTTCGCTCTGTTGCGGAAAATTTTCTTAACAATGTCGTTTAGAAGGGCCTATAATAGTCAGTTGGGTAACAAGTTTTACGGCATGGTAAAGGCAAAAATGATACATGGAAATAGCCTTTAAGGTTAGGCACTACACAAAGAATTCTCGCTTCCACTGCTTCTCTGCTCAGCAGATTGCAATGAGTCACGAAGCTAATGGCTAATCTAAGCTTCCGCAGTGAGCGAAATTAAGTAATTCCTAGATTTAAAGATAATTTTCCTTCGGAGATCCTTTTTTGATATGGCACATAAAGAAGCTCGTATGATGCTCTAATTTGATTTGTTTAGTAATCAAGCAGAATTCGCATTCCTGCATCTCGTAAGTAGACATTGAAACCTTGGTGGTGCAATAAAGTGAGTGCATTGTTACCTAACCAAGTGCAATCATAAGTAATTTTACATCCAATCTCTTGCTTCCATACTACTTTACACTATAAAGGAGTTTATTAGATTCCAATATAAAAAAGTAGATTTTTCACAAGCAAATTAGTTCCGTCTTTCTTCATTTGAGCGCAGCCTAGAATTTTCTCAAGCAGACGATGATAACGGCAAGAGTGTTTGATTGAAGTGTAAGGCTATTGTTGTGACCAACTTGAGCTAGCCAACTGAGGTAACTTGGTAGGAAAATGACGGCGGGATTCATTTGCAACTC